TCTAATGAAGAAATTCGATACATTTTAAAACTTGACTAAAAAAAAAACCCGACGATTTTAAAAAGCTATCGAACAAAATGTTACCTATATACTTTAGTTAAATGTAAATAAACGATATTAAAAAAATGTTGTGAATTTTCTTAAAAAATGCGAAGAAACTTTTTCCCCAACCGTATACAATTTCTCCTCCTCCTCGAATCGTGTTCCTCATGCCTGAGGGTCGTGACCACCATCACCCATGAGCTTCAATCTTAAGATGTTTTTCCACTTTCCCCAGTCCACGGCGTCATGCAGCGCGCTGTACACTGTACTGTCCAAAGTGGTGCGGATCTGATCGGACCAACGAGTCGGGCTGCGGCCTCTAGATCTGTTGCCTTCAACTTTCCCTGTGATCATAAGTTTTTCCAGGTTATCGCCGTCTTTCCTCGCAATGTGACCAAAATATTCGAGGATCCGCTTCAGACATACAGTAGACAGTCTGATTTTGATGCCCAGTTGCTTCAATATCGACACGTTAGTCCGGAAGGCTGTCCACGGAATTCTTAGCATGCGTCTCCAACACCACATTTCGAAAGCATCGATTAAATACAATGATACAATTTCTAAGCCAAGTTAAAATTTTGTGTACTCAGGTTCCTCTAGCCATGAATCCGTTATGTAGTCACTAATATTAATTAGTATATCTCATGCAAATATATGTATGTGTATAATGTAATATTCATATTAATTAACATGTATATTACTTAAGTAATCACTAATATTTCACTAAAATCTCCTCCCAAATAACATAACACACCATCGGAACAATGCTAACAACATCACAACTAACAAACTCACCTAACCAAAAGTTTATGCATTAACATAATTCTCAAATACAATTCATAGCTCGGTCCACCGAAACATGATTCTGTTTTGCTTCATATTAATTATGATAACAAGAACTTTCACGATCACATTTAAACACGTGGGTCATCTGGTATACCATAAAAAAAGGTTATTTCTAGAAGTTATCTCAAGGTGGGAGGCGCATTTACGTTGTAGATGTCTATGGGCTCCAGTAACCACTTAACACCAGGTGGGCTATGGGCTCGTCCACCTATTTAAGCAATAAAAAATAAAACTAAAACAAGTAAAACTTCATTGAAATGTCCCCTCTATTAATATTTTCATCTACACATTATTAATCTAATATGAAAGTTATATAAAGAGTAATCTGGGGGAATATTGCCCACAATTATCTACTCGTCGAAAATGAGACGACTATCCTAGACCTAATTTCCAAATAAGTGTGTGAACGAAAAATGAAGCCGTTTTTTCTCATGCTGTTCTTGCTGTTGACAGATGCTGATTGTTTTTTTGATATAAAAGAAATAATCTCGGATAAAATGACGAAATTACCAAAAGATTTCAATGTAGCCATAAAAGATATAGCCGAAAGTTTGCCTTCTAAAGAAATGACTGTGGTGAGAGGGAATTCGACAAATATTAGGTGAGTTTCCACAAAATATCACGGTGGCCTGATTAATTATTAAACATTAAAATTAAAATTAATAAAAAAGTGCGCGAGCAACTTGGTGCATGTGAATGAAGTGAAACTTCTTTTTCGATATGTAGTATTTTGGTTTTCTTCATTTTTCATCCTTAAATCAGATTGCTCTTGTAATAGGGAATGCTGTGTAAAAGGGATGCAACATCTTCAATATTTATAATATATATTTTTTAAATTATAGAGAGAAAAATAAATATATAGATTTTTTTAAATACTTATATTGGACGCTAATCGTTACTAGCGCTCGCGCTGGCCTGTAACAGGTATATTACGCGCATGTGTTCGAGTGCCACCCATTCACTTTCGCGCTCTCTGTTTCTATTCCATGGTACCGTTAAACGTTTAACGCAACCTTCTTAGAAGTCGCATTAGAAGTTTCATTTCAATAATAACAACAAATGAAAACAAATCACACACGGTCATCCGGCCTCAAATTAGTATTCCCCGGTGTAATGGGTACCGGATACTGACATACATACGTTATATACGTTTAAATATACACATATATAGATAGTAAACACCCTTAAAAAGAGCAAACTAATATGTTGTCTGTAAAGACACGAATGTCTTCCCGATCAGACAGAATCGCTAACTACTGCACCACGGAGTCAGTCAATATAATAGATGATTTTGAAGTCGTCGGGGCCTAAAGGATAAAACGTCCGGTGCATTCGTGTTGAGCGATGCGCAGGTATTAGAATCCCGCAGGCAGGTACCAATTTTTCTAGTGAAATACGTACCTACTCAACACATATTCTCGATTGAATTCCACGGTGATGGAATAACGTCGTGTAAAAAAATGAAAATTGGTGGTAGGACCTCTTGTGAGTCCTGCCTATTTCTGCCGTGAAGCAGTAATGCGTTTCGGTTTGAAGGATGGGGCAGCCGTTGTAAATGTCTATGGCCTCAAGTAACAACTTAACACCAAGTTGGCTGTGAGCTCGTCCAACCACCTAAGCAATAATAAAAAGCCTTTTTTTTTTTTTTTCTTCGGGCCGGGGCCCGAACCTCCTACGAGCTCCCCGCGCCTAGGGGGCGCGCGGGGTATGTGAGACTCAACGATCTACCGGTGTTGAGAGCAGATCGCGGGCCCAAGGATTTTAGGGCCCACCCACTAAACGACTCTCCTGCACTCTTACACCCGACGTCCGATTTCCGTCCGGGGTCAGAACCCGGTCAGAGTAGGGGGGTTCCCGCGGTCAACACTACAACCAGACACGCGGCGCCACCCCGAGGACGCCCGACCGACGGGTCGTCGAGGCGATAGTCGACGACCAATGACGTCGGTCTCCGCGGTACGGCGGCCCTACCAGGCCGCCCGGGTGGTGCCGCTGGTGTTCTGGGATACCCCGCTGGGCCAGCACCAGCCTGCCGGGTCGGAACGCGATACACCGCCGACCGGGTTGCTCTTCAACAGTATGTTCGGCGACGACAGCGACGACGAAAATGCGGACCGCATCGCAGTCCGCAGCCGCCGACGCGCCGCCCCGTCCTCCTGGTGCCAGCGCGCTAGAGTGACGGTAGCGTGCGGCGCAGCCTCAACCCCCTTAGGTCGCCCCGTCTAAACCAGAAACATCATCTGTGGTATTTCGATGACAACAAGAACTATGACCCTGAACTCATCGCGGCGTTAATAAAAATAATTTATTTAGATAACATTATCCTTTCCAGATCCCAAGATGTATTTGAGTTACTACGTTTGCTCTGCCAACATAACATTCAGGTTGTTAACCTTGATATAGCGGCTATGGAAAATAAGGAAATGGTATGTACATATAGTATACCAAATATATAAAATAAAAATAAAAACTTAACCTTAACGAAACTACTTTTACGAATAACTAATAAATAATAACTTTGCTTGTTGTACAACTAAGTGGCGGATGAAAGGCGTTTGCATGCAGCAGAGATGCGAATGTTGCGATGGATGTGTGGAGTAACGAGAATAGATAGAATACGAAATGAATATGTTAGAGGAAGTCTGAAAGTGGCACCTGTGACAGAGAAGCTGAGAAGTGCACGTTTGTGATGGTATAAACATATGATGAGACGAAATGAAAATGAGGTTAGTAAGAGAATGTTAACTATGAATGTGGAAGGATATAAAGGAAGAGGTAGAACTAAGAAGAAATGGATGAATTGCGTGAAAGACGATATGGGTAAGAGGAGAGTGAGCAAAGAAATCGTATATGATAGAAGAGTATGGAAGGAGAAAACATGTTGCGCCGACCCCAGGTGACTGGGAGAAGGACAGGAGAATGATGAATGATGAGTAAAATAACTTTTAATTATGTTTACCATTTTATTTTACATATATTTGGTAATTTGCTGACATTGACCAAGCTGTTTGTCATCTATTTATTTATGATTTATTTTTATGAAAATGCTGTCTTTATTGTATCGAATCCACATTATCTTCACAGACCATTTTAGCGCATAACATCCCGCTCTGGAATGAACTCCCATCCATTCTCGAGCCAGAGCACTATGACCAAATCTTCTGCTCGTGTAGTTTAACTGCTATTCAGGAGGTCACTATAGGTTCTAGTCTGCATTATCGTTTTTTTTTTTCGGTTAGGGGGCCGAACCTCCTACGAGGTCCCCGCGCAAAAGGGGCGCGTGGGGTATGTGAGACTCAACGATCTGCATGGTGTTGTGAGCAGCACCACATTTATGAAATGACCTTTTTTTATGATTGAAGTATTACTGGTGGCCCGGAGGCCTTTCCAGTTTCACCAGGACAGATGGACGAACAAGGCTCAGCCAGGAGGGGCAGGATTTGCTAACAGCTGCCCGAGGACCTCCAAAGAAGATCTAACAACTCAAGAGTAGCTGTTTCGCGAATGAATCTACTACTGAATCAGAATCGCGACCCGCTGAGAAGATCCGGCGAGAAACTCAGCGGGCTGATGCATGGGTTAGGTTGAACGTCGAACTCTTTGCCGAGTTCGACGAGTACGGTTACCGGGATCCCTAACCCTAAACATAAAGCCTAGTGTTAGAGCTGAAGGTATCTAATGCAAGCGTTATTGGATCTGATGAATCCGTAAGGACGTGTCTAGGCCGACGGCGATGACTTACTCCTGAACTATTCCCCGATCAGGATTTAAGGAGTATTATCGTTGCCGCCGCTAACTGCTCTCCAAATCCTGTTCACGCATGAAATGACCTATATACTACTTACTAAAGTTTGTTACTTTCGATGTTGTTGTCGCCGAAAGAGCTAGAATTCCCCAAATGGTCAATGCGACGACAACTAGATATACTCGTATCTATAATAAATACTACAATGCGTTCGCCGGCAAGCAAGCTGAAGTGGCAGTGGGCTGGCCATATATGCCGTAGGACTGACGATCGCTGGAGCAGACGGGTTCTCGAGTGGAGACCGCAGCGGAAGACGTAACGTAGGACGCCCCCGGGCTAGGTGGTGCGATGACCTCCGAACGGTGGCCGGCAAAAAGTGGATGAGGAGAGCCGCAGACTGGGCTCAGTGGTGTGGATTGGCAGAGGCCTATGTCTAGCAGTGGACGACTGTGGGCTGTTGATGATGATGATGATGATGTCTGCCGGTTCGTTATTTTACGTTTTAACGGATTTACAATGGGACTTATAGTTTATATATCAGAGAGTGACGGAAACAACTGTCCATCCCGGGAAAATGCAACGTGTTTCATTATTTTCAAATAAGCACCAGTGAAATCGCAGGACATGTGCCGTGTGCGACATACATAAATAAATCAAATAATATTTATGAACATCTGTGATATTATAACCGCCGAGGTCAGGAAGATGTGGGGAAGCATATTGCATCGAGTGATCAACATTCCAAACTATACACCAATGAAGAGACTGACTCAGAAGAAGAAGAAGATGATATTATTTGTAGACATTTACAGATGTTTTACTGGTGGTAGGACGGTAGGATGGTAGTCCGCACGGGTAGGTACCACCACCCTGCCTATTTCTGCCGTGAAGCAGTAATGCGTTTCGGTTTGAAGGGTGGGACAGCCGTTGTAACTATACTGAGACCTTAGAACTTATATTTTTTTTGTTTTTTATTGCCCTTGTAGGCAGACGAGCATACGGCCCACCTAATGGTGAGTGGTTACCGTCGCCCATGGACTTCAGCAATCCAAGGGGCAGAGCCAAGCCGCTGCCTACCGTTTAATACTCTCCACAAGCCTCGTTTGAAGAAGGATATCTCAAGGTGGGTGGCGCATTTACGTTGTACATGTCTAAGGGCTCCAGTAACCACTTAACACCAGGTGGGCTGTGAGCTCGTCTACCCATCTAAGCAATAAATAAATAAATAAAATGATCACAACTTATATTTTAATTTTTTCGCACCGGATCTTAGCAACGCTTTTACCAAGTAGAAAGTATTTTTCGTAACTAAATATTATTAATGTAATTCCCTTTTTCAGTACTACGGGTACCTGAAAAAAGCTTTAGACGTCTCAGACGAACGCACTAACTTAATTTTGTGCGAACCGTATGAATGTGAGAACTTGCTTCTTGAGGTAATTGGTTTGTTATTAAATTATATTACTGCTTACATAAATAGTAAAACTTTGGCGGATAAATAAGATGCATATGAAACAAATAAAGGTGCTTTATGTAGAACAGTGAATGACGCCACCACCATCTTAAGCTCTCGCTTCATCAGTCACATTATTCGTCCTTTCTCATCAAAATCAAATATTACAGCTATCTCTGTCTCAAAGCAGAATATTTCAGTCTCGAGAATGAGATAGCCGTTATTTATTTATTTGGGAAATAAACAGTAATTACAGCAACAATACAAACATATAATATTCAAAAAAATAGCTAAAACAATAACTAAACATGTTCCCACCATTAAAATCACATATAAGTAGAAAGTGAATGAAAAGAAAAAAAAAAGATAAATTTAGAAATTTAAGTTTACACAAAAAAAACAAAAGTAACACAATACGCACATATTATTATGTACATCAAATTACACTATAAAACTAAGTAATCCTGATGTATGTAATACATTTGAAACTTTGACTTCACGTGATAAGGTTTGTGGCGGCATATACGGTAGGCAGCGGCTTGGTACGGTAGGCAGCGGCTTGTCTCTGCCCCTGGCATTGCTGATGCCCATGAGCAACTGTAACTACTCACCATTAGATCCACCACCGCCCACCACCACTCACCACCTTATCTGCCTACAAGGGCAAAAAAGGAAGAAAAAAACCTTTCGTTATGTCTCTGGATTCGAGTAATCACCAAACTCCAAGTATAGCAATATAACAAAAAAGTAGACCTACCTCCTAGACTCTACCTCAACTATAGTAAAAAACTATCAATAGCTCTAAGTAAATTAAATTAATTAAATTAAAAAAAAATATTTATCATAGAGGAAAGAAAATGTTCGTCAAAGCGATAGTTTTAAATATTTTTTTGTTTTATTTTAAAAAGTCATACTGCAATATTTAAATTATGCTAATTTCAAATTTTAAATGACACTGGAATCTGTTTAGTTCAATTCAAACAGTATCCATTGAGAGTTTCAAATCGATCTGTTGCAAACTCATTCCTCTTTCTTTGCCTTATAAATAACTCGGTTGGTTCTTGCAATCTTACGAAATTGATCAATACTCTCGGAATAAATAACAGTAAAAAAAGAAATCTCATTTTCTCTATATGTTTATCTGGAAACCAAGTAAATAATGCAAAAGCTATTTACATAAGTATAGAAAAAAGTTGTTTTTAGATGCGGCTTTCCTCGCGTTAATATAGAAAAAATCTCTTTTTTTTGTGGATGAAAGGTACAAAGGTATTTGTATTCGTCCTTGGCAATATGTACCCATAATATCATGATGATCAGTTGATTAGTGGTGGTAAAACATTTTATGTGCCCGCATAGGTAGGTACCACTATCCAATCTATTTCAACCGAGAAGCGGTAAGAAAGTAAGTAATGCGGTGCGAATGATGACGCAGTAGTTCTACTATAGAACTGACACTGAGAATGTGTTTCTCAAGGTGGAAATTTTCATTGTCAATATTCATGGTTAATTATGGTCCATGATTAATTTGAGACATTAATCAACTGGGATGAAATTAAATGAATATAATCTCAGTAAAATGGTGGTCATTTACCGAGACCTTTTCAGTGGACTTTTTGTAGGATCACGAGAAGTTACATCCAGCGGCTTTGTTTTATTTTTCCACATATATGCACTTTCACATATACTAAATAGTTAATAAGCCACCGTTATTACACACTTAAGCCTGAAGAAACACTACATAGACAAAATAAAACAAATCACACAACTTCACTCCTCGCGTTCCCGCCAAAAAGTCCTCAAAATGGAATAGATTTTTTTGTAACAATTTAATTTATTAATTTCATTTAAGGTCAATGTGCTATTGAAACTGCGTGCCGCGACCTTGTGTTTCAAAATGGGAGATGACATTCAACTTGTGATTTGTATGAGTCCCGGTACTAAAAACATTTGAATTTTACTTTTTTAGTTGAGGGAGAACAACTTGATTCACCGAACGATACTTTACATATTTTTCTGGCCATACGGATCGGTTAGCGACAGATTCCTGAACTCGATGGTGGAAGCAATGAGAGTGGCCGTCATCACAAATCCCCGGGAGAGCGTGTAAGATTACCTTCTGATATTTCTTAGGAACATTGTTTAAAATTTTTGGCGATTGACGATCTTACGTCTCACCTGGTGGTTAATCCTTGCCGTCGTCAATATACCTCAGCTATATCAATAGCATGGTCAAGCTGTTTTCCACTGAGATGGGCTTTTTTAAATACGTTAGGCGATTCACACATTGGCGACGCGACCAGGCGAGGAGGCGCGTGGCAGCAGATCCGCGTGTGGCGACGGAGGAGCTAATCTGCCTCTTAGAGCATATTTTACCGCACCTCCACGCCTGACGGCTTTGTACGTGGCCCAAATTAAAGGTTACTTTCCATTTGGTCATCGTGGTGTTAGTTATGTTACAATGGGCAATACTGAACTCATTCAAGACGTTCAATTTCGTATATAAATCTACCCGCGGACGTGCTCCCGCGCGTGGCGCGATTTCGGTGTATTGGACCTGGCGCGTTTTCTATGCTAATTGATGTACTTGCATAGTTGCATACAATATTAAAGTCTGCCACTCCGCGCCAAGCGACGGAGCGCGGAGCAGTGTATGAATCGCCTTATAGCTCTTAAGGAATATCGCAAAAGAACAAAATAAATAATAAGATCTTAATTTGCTTTTGCAAAATGTAGTATTTTATTTATTTCTGTAACCCACTCAAAGAGAATGATATTTCAAATGTAGACGTAAGCGTACCTTGAATAGTTCTGTCCAACAATTCAATCTATTTGGAGTATTTCTGTGATCGTTGCCAATTCTACTCGTAAAAGAAAAGATACAGTACTAATAAATGTTTTTTTTATTTATTTTTTTATTTAAAATTAGCAACGGGTCATTTCTAATACTGCATATTTTTATGTACGCCATCAAAAGTTAGCATAAATATGCTAACAGAATTCGCCTCTATGTTTTTTTTTACTACAGTACACTGTGTACAGAAAAATATTTATATATATGTTGTGGATAACGACTTTTAGTAATATTAAGACGGTGGTTTTGATTATTATTTTAAATGATGAAATGTTGTTTTGATAAATATCACAAAATGAAGGGTAGACTCCGTAACGCCACAGTATAAAATGGCGGTACGTGGACAGAGTCGTGGCAATTCCGTGTCAGACAGTCATTCTGTCCGTCTCAGTCAGTGAGTCTCTGACAGTCAGTCAGTCGGTCTGTCGGTATGTGCAACGAAACTGTCGGTTTATCCTGTCATTGTGAAAGTTGTGTGTGTTGAGTTTCAATAATTATTATTGAAAAGTTTTATTGACTAAACTGAGTTCAATCGAATACGAGTGATGACGGAACCTACCGCTCAGCCATCCCTGACGTGTGCTGACATCAGAAGTGAGATCAGGACTCTACTCTCACTGGCGTGACGTGTTTGAACATGTTCGAAGTACAGCAAAAAAAACATGATGCAGATCAGAATACTAGTAGTGGTACGCCACAAGAGCGTAAATGCAGCATANACTGGTGGCAGGACCTCTTGTGAGTCCGCGCGGGTAGGTACCATCACCCTGCCTATTTCTGCCGTGAAGCAGTAATGCGTTTCGGTTTGAAGGGTGGGGCAGCCGTTGTAACTATACTGAGATCTTAGAACTTATATCTCTAGGTGGGTGGCGCATTTACGTTGTAGATGTCTATGGGCTCCAGTAACCACTTAACACCAGGTGGGCTGTGAGCTCGTCCACCCATCTAAGCAATTTTTCAAGTAGACGTTAGCTTGAAAGTTTAAGTTAATTAACTTAAGTTAACAAACTAAATTCACACCAAGGCTATGTATAGTTTGTACTTCATAGTCTATAACAAGAGAAAGATGAACTCTTGTTTTTTTTTAATTTATTGCTTAGATGGGTGGACGAGCTCACAGCCCACCTGGTGTTAAGTGGTTACTGGAGCCCATAGACATCTACAACGTAAATGCGCCACCCACCTTGAGATATAAGTTCAAGGTCTCAAGTATAGTTACAACGGCTGGCCCACCCTTCAAACACGGAACTCACAAGAGGTTCTACCACCAGCAAAAACCAAACCGCGATCGCCAACGTGCGTCTACTAGTAGGACATATTGTAAACTAGCACGTGTAGACACCTCCATCCTACCTATTTCTACCGCTAAGCACAATACAATATAATTGACGCCTCATATCTCAAGTGTTCATTTATATTGTAAGTTCATTCATTATTTAAAAACACCAAACTAACTGGCAAAATAGCTGTTTCTTTTCATAGCTCTATTGTTGATGGTAAAATGATTTTTGTCTAACTTGATGTCCGCGATCTTATTATTTCTATGTGCAAGCTTATCTGTATAACGAAAACCAATAATATTTGGGCACATAACTGTTCCATATTTCTAATTACAATTGAAATTAAGCCTTAAAATGTCTGTTCAATTTACATGAGCAGTAGATTGAGAGTCTCTTCTTTCAATTTTATTACAAGTCGGTTATAAAAATAATATTCTATAGCTTGACTAGAGGTATCGGCTGATTTCACGACAAAGCACCACTCGCCTTAGGGTATTTCTAAAAATTACTTTCCGCCCCCGCCTCGCCCCTCGTCAGGGGCACAAGAATACAAAGCTCTCCACGATCACGTACTTAGTAATTCGATTGAACAGAACGACGATTGGGAACTGGCCGAAACATATTTTAGTAGCGCCAAAATAAATATTTATTCCGTGATATCGAATTGTTTTGTATTAAATTTTCAATTTTTATTCAACTTGATTTATCGACGGAAACGCGAAACTTTATAACGGTAAAAACAATCACAATGGTATTTTTATATCTTCTGGAATAATTAGATTAAGGAGGCTGTGGAGAAATTGTGAAAGTGTCGAGAAAGGAGAGGTAATCGTGACTTGCTGAATGAGAAAATCGGGATAGTAAATATACTATTTATGAAAGATATGCTATCATATATATTTTTTATTGCTTAGATGGGTGGACGAGCTCACAGCTCATGTAAGGAAACTTTAATCAATACGAAACATAATTATGACTGACACTTCTAACACAGCAGTGGTGATTACCTAGTCAGTCTTGATTTGATAATGGACTTAATGTCTAAAACAGTACATGGTACTGTTACTGGTAAAAATAGAAAGTTAAGGCTTGAGCTTGAGGCTTGGGTTGATTGTGATAAAGATTCTTTCTACGGTGACATTTTTGATATGGATTTATAGAAAATTTAAAACATCCAAATAATCCCGAAAGGTTGGGATTTGCAAAATGGATAATAAGAATAAAGTAGAAAAGCCTAATAGCAGTTCTAGCAAATTTTTTGGTAATATTTAACATACCTCCATTATTCCGAGTTCATTGTACTAATCCAATAGCGATTATCAATTTTATCGAATTAACAGATAAAAATTGCTTAAGAATATTTTGTTTCATACGGGTTTAAGTGGAATTTCATCACACAAGTCTAATATTAATCACACCAATACATTTTTAGAGTGAATCACCACTATAGTTACAGGACCATCTTTTGGTTTCCTATAAGCTTAACCATTAATTCCTTTTGTTACTAAGTATTTTCATTCATTTTTGGAACGAAGTTCCTTACGGCAGGCTTGGAGGAGATAGGGATTTTGCTGCGCGACCGAACAGAAAAAAATGTGATAGTAAAAACCGTAAGAAAACAGTCCGTGGAATAAGACTTGTTTTCCGCACAGCGATATTTCACCGCGCGATTTTTGCTGCGCGACTGAACTGAAAAAAAATGTGATAGTAAAAATTGTACGAAAAAGTCCGTGGAATAAGGCCTTGTTTTCCACACAGCGATATTTCACAGCGCGATTTTTGCTGCGCGACTGAACTGAAAAAAATGTGATAGTAAAAACCGTAAGAAAAAGTCCGTGGAATAAGGCCTTTTTTCCGCACAGCGATATTTCAGCGCGCGATTTTTGCTGCGCAACCAAACTGAAAGAAATGTGATAGTAAAAACCGTAAGAAAAAGTCCGTGGAATAAGGCCTTGTTTTCCGCACAGCGATATTTCACCGTGCGATTTTTTTCTCGTAATTCTTTTTTTTTATATATATATATGTAACTTCGTTCCTATCCGGTGTCCCACGACACCACACATCTTTTTATTTGCATAAACATCGTAAATTTACGCTTTAAACGACGTTTATTTATAACGAATTTACGTTGTTACGAAATAAACGTTTTCCTGGAAATCATTTAAGGTGTAGATATTCTAAGAACTATTTTGTTACTCGCTCAATGTTATTTGTGAAAGAGAAATTGGGGAGGATTCATTGGAATTGCAAAAATAAATGAAACAAAGCCGTTATACCTTTGGCAGCGTGGGATCATCCACATCAACATTGTTTGTCGTTTTTTGTGCAATTAAAGTAGTATTGTGTCTAGGAAAACGGCAGATGGATTTTGCCAAGCGTTGAATGTCATTGTTTTATCTATAATTCTATACTAATATATAAATCTACAGTGATTTTTACGGATGTATCCGTTATAACTACTGAACCATGCATACGACTTGAAACTTGGTATCCATGTAGAAAACACATGTACATAATGGATAGGCTAATATTTATATGAGTGTTGGACTACCTAATAATAATGAGAATAAATAATAATGCTAATTTAAAATGCTCAGCGAAGCGGGCGAGTACGGCTAGTTGTCATATAAAATTAATAAATTCGTGTATTGGACTGACCCGTACCTACTATGTTGCTTATTTGTGTGACAAATCTGGCATACGTTTCAATTTGAATAATAGCTGTTACTATATTTTATATTTCAACCGCATGTCTCAGGTTGGTGGCATATATGTAACCACCAGTCTGCTAGCGGCCCGTAGGTCTGTTCACCTATCAAGTGTAATATATTTACAATTCACAATGTTGACTATTTTTTCCCACAGCTATTCTTATCGTTTAAGTGTACTGTCTTATTTTTCTACATTTGGGAACTATCTATCTAATACCTGTCAACAGAGAAACTCAATATTGACAGCTGGTAGTAGGACCTCTTGTGAGTCCACACGGGTAGGTACCACCGCCCTGCCTATTTCTGCCTTGAAGCAGTAATTCGTTTCGGTTTGAAGGGTGGGGCAGCCGTTGTAGCTATACTGAGACCTTAGAACTTAGATCTGGACAAGGTGGGTGGCGCATTTACGTTGTAGATGTCTATGCGCTCCAGTAACACCAGGTATTCTGTGAGCTCGTCCACCCATCGTAAACTACTTATCAATGCTCTCAATGTTAATGTTTTTTAGGTTCCGAATATACTACAACCAAGCGACTCCCAACAGACTGAATCATCTATCTTTGGTCAATTGGTGGGCTTTTCGTTTATACAAGTCACCTCTTTTACCTTCTGCTGATAAAGTCTACAAGAACTTCAGAGGACGAGTTTTTGATGTACCCGTTCTCCACGTAAGTCGTAACGTAAATGTAACCTCAACCAGCTAAGCAATCAACATATCTCAAACCTCTACGCAAATTCCCAATTATAAATTAGCAATTTTCCGTGGTCTATACAACTAAAATTTAATTTATGCACCATCTAACAGCCACATAACGGGAGATGATGCACCTTTTGTTATTCTGCAAGCAAAAAAAAACCTATAGAAAATCATTTTTAATTCGTTGCGCCAGACGAAGGATTTTAGAAAATTGTAAAAATGCTCATACATTTTATTGATAAAAGTATTTTAATATGCATTTAAAAAGTACTAGTGGCCCCGCAGCAGTCGAGATTCGACTATAATTAATTGAAATTATAAGTTTAAACATTATTATGGTTCTATTGTCAAACACTATTATATTTCGATAATATTATCACAGTATTTGACAAAACTGCACTATAGATCAATAATATTAAAGACAACCAATATTAATCTATTCAATTCGACCACAGACTTTAAGCAATAACAAAAGTTTCCCAATTGACAGTAAACAAAGAGTATATTTTTATGCATGTGTTATGTCAAATACATGGTAGTGTGCGTAATGTTTTCTTTATTGATTTAATGTATCTTTTGTGTATTATTTCTAAAAAAAAAAAGTGTGTGTGTCCGCTCCGACGCACGACTGGAGTTTACTGGATATAAAAAATTAAACGAAACAATACGAGAAATAGTTCTATATTACGACAACACGATACACTACAGATTATTAACAAATTAACGAGACACAAAACAAACGACTAACAAATATATGAAAATACAATAATGAGAGAAACGCGCGANACTAACAAATATATGAAAATACAATAATGAGAGAAACGCGCGATCAGTACGAGGCTTTGTGGCGGACTGCCGGCGCATGTACTAGCATGTCACACGAAATGCGCATAACGCATTTCGTGTGACATGCTAGTACGATTTTGGTCCCCATAATTTTCATACCCCGGGCCTATATATGTAAATCGATTCTAAAGGAGTAAACTCCAAAAACTCCTCCATCCGCGCAATTTTCGTAAAAAGGGATACAAAGTTTTTGTTTCACGTATTAATATATAGATTAAATTATTTATATTGAAAAATTATTGCAGGCTCCGCCGTGGCACTTCGTGAAATACAACAACGACTCTTCCATCAACGTGACAGGCGGACGCGATGACAAACTACTGAAATTGATAGCTAATAAATTGAACTTCAGGTAGGAGAACGTGAAACGTCACGTAAAACGTCACGTTCGTCACGATATCGCGTTGCTGTGTCATCAAATTAGTTGTGTAAAATAATAGCGTCAACTTTAAACTATAGTTGTAGTCAGTACATCTGTAGAATATCTCCACATTAGCGGTAATTACATAGGAATATTGTCCAAAAAATTTGAAGCTTGATATTAACATTGGATTGATGAACATGACAGAAACTACTGTGTTCTTCCTTCATTTTTTAAGTTGACGAAACTGCTGCAACTATCGGCATAATAATGAACCCATTTTTCAATTTAACTCATATAAAAAGTTACCTTAAAAAGATATTCTTTCTCACTCTACGTTTAAACATAGTGTTGCAATTCGCGTCCAATACCCCAAATGTGTTCATGGACGTTTTCCACAATGAAAAATAGCATCGTGTAAATACAATGAAACATACATAATAATAATGTGTAATTCTTGGTACGAATCAGTGTGAGATCGCATCACTAACCTCTACCAACACCTTTCTTCTCATTTCTTCTTCATTCTTAAATTTTCACTTTACACTTATATTACACTTCTTTTTTATGATGTATATGTCACTAACATGGGCTGAGAGCTCGTTTAACTATCTATCTAATAAAAATAAATCCATATTCTAACACAGCTAGTAAATTTTTGTGCGTGTGTCCGCTCATGTATCTTGTTACTTCTGCATACAAGTTCTGGTTACTTCATTACCTATAGGTACAGATATTATGATCCCCCGGACCGAAGTCAGGGATCTGGCATAATTGGGAATGGAACTTTCAAAGGAACTCTCGGTCTTATTTGGAAACGGGTAAGGACTTGTGCATCATTCATAACACACAAACAAACTTCTTATTTCTTTGCATTACGATCATTGCCAGTATGAAAATATTTTACGTTTTGCTTCGAGAGTTATTGAAGTTTTAATGAAGACTGTTTTGTCTCTTCTGTTTTTGATTGATATTGTAGAAACGATAAAATTTAAAGTTCTAATAAATGAGCAACTGATATAGCTCTGTTTGGGTGTTTTCTGTAGACCTTTATTTGATGTTTTACTTAAATTAATATATAGTATTATATAATAATAAATATTAAACACAATCACGCAAAAAATTGTTAAATGAATTTAAATGAAATTTCACACAAAGTTTCTTTATAACCGGGATTAAAACTGATTACTTTTGGTCATAAATGACGTTACCCAGGCAGCACCTACAAGGTATTATAAACACGACAGTGAGATTGATTACCAATTCGTATTTTAACGTATCTACAAATAAACCGATCTACAAATTGACTATGAACCAGATAGTATAACAAACAACCCTTCATCCCTAGAAAATATAGCGTGTGTTATTATCAAGTTTCGAATCACATCTTTACTAATATATAAATCTACAGTGGTTTTTACGGATGTTCCGTTAGAACTAGTGAACCATGCATTCGATTGACTTGAAACTTGGTATCCATATAGAAAATACATGTATTTAATGGATAGGCTAATATTTATATAAGTGTTGGACTCCCTACACCAGTTGCAAGGGCGTTAATGATGAGAATGTTTTGTGGGGGTGAGAAATAATTATGTTAATTTCAAATTCCCAGTGAAGCGGGCGGGTACAGCTAGTCTTATATAAAATTCATATGAAATCCAGAAACAGTACATATCTATGATACTGAAAAAACACATTAATAATCTTAAATTACGACATAGCAAGCGGATTTCTTCTTGGGGGACGTGACAATGACTTGGGAGCGACTGCAGGCTGTCGAATTTTCATTCTTGACACTCGCAGATTCTGGTGCCTTCTTAACCCATGCCCCGGCCAAGCTAAGCGAGACCTTAGCCATCATTAGACCTTTTCGTTGGGAGGTAAGAACGTGGAAACAATGGAACTATGTAGTTTAATTTCAGAAGAGAGGGTCTTATTTCCTTTTTTAATCTCATTGTGAGAGTTTGGTAAGATTTTGTTATTATTTCTTCAGTTCCTGTAAGTTTTTGTCTTGTCTTGTATCTACTACTGTATGTAGTAGTATCTACTGGAAGACTCTAATTTCTAGATGAATAAAAAATAATATTCCAACTACTTACGAAATAAATATGTATGAAAAAATATAATGATTATGTCCAGGGGTAAAAGGATATTTGGTTTAAGCCATATTTTTGCAACTTTACAAGAGAGCTATTTAAAGTTTAAATTTTGGAAAAAAAATTAACAAAAAACTTATTCACCCATTTTATAGAGGTAAAATAGGTAGTTAATTGAAGTTGAATGAAAAACATCGAACTGTTGATGCTAATGCCAAATAAAAGGCACCTTTAATTACAGAGACAAATGCGCATATTAAGCAAAATATATCTTAAACTAAAAAGGGTAGAATTACGTATTATAGATAGGACGAATTATAGTTATTACTTACATTAGTCCATTCAGAATATTGAAATTATGAAAATTCGACCTTGAGCTTCTGATGTTGAGAAACAATTTTACTTAGACAACAATTATATTTTAGATATATGAATGTTTCACGGGACCAATTCACTACATTACACCTAACATAACAAACTGACTTTTGTAATGAAATATATAATAATAATATAAGAAAAAATATTTATATTTGCATTTAGTTCTGATGATATATTTAACAGATGAGGAGCACCATGCTCATTTAATCCTCAAGGCTATTCTGCATTCCGATCTCCAAAGAAAGATAACCGTGTCAATTTATCGGTAACTATAATCCACATCCGTGATCCGCAATTTGACTACAAAAAAATGGTACACACAATTATTTCACAAATGTTCTCCCTTTTTTTATACAATATTCAGGTTTGGCCATTAGTATGTGCGACTCTATTCATCACGGGCCCCGCGCTCTGGATTGTGATAGCAGCGCCGTCGCTATGGCAACGGAAAAAACGTGATCAGATGGGACTACTTAACAACTGCTGTTGGTTCACAGTCACCCTGTTTTTGAGGCAATGTAAGTGAGTGGGATAGTTGATTTTTGGCCAACTTAAAAAAAGGTGGATATTCACAGTGGACTGTAACTTTTTATATGTGTTCTCTCGGAACTTTTATCTATGTGTAACCGATATTAATGATATTTTTTTATTTGGCAGCTGATTTGGTCCCATATTATAAAGATCTGACTCGTAGATTATCCTTTATAATAGATACTTGACTTCGGCCACATTGATGATATTTCTATTTTATGTTCGTGAAAACCCATTTTCATTTATATTGAAATTTTGCATTATATACAAGCTATTGAGAAATTGTAGTAGTTAAAGCTGTAATAGACTGCTAAGTTAAATTGAGCTTGAAACAATATTCATTACTAAGCGTGAATACGTAGAAAGTTCAAATATCGCGACTACTTCACGCGTCACGCTGTGAAGGTTTGTCTGTATTTTCGTTTCTTTCAAAAAATATTAGCCAATACAAATATCTAATAATTTCTAGTAATATCTAGTATCTGGTGATATCTAGTATCTGGTGATATCTACTATCTAGTAATCTAGTCATTTTCCAATACCAATAGGTAATAAACAAACATTTCCTCTCTATCTACGTTATCATATTCAAAGTACACCATAATTATTTTAATTTCTCCATACTAAATATTTTAAATCAACAGCTTCGACCAAGGAACCGTCTAGCAACCACAAGGCACGCCTGGTAACCGTCCTCATTTCGCTCGGTGCCACATACGTGATCGGCGACATGTACTCAGCCAACCTCACTAGTTTACTGGCCAGGCCGGCTAAGGAACCACCGATAGGGACTTTGCCCGCTTTGGAGGAGGCGATGAGAGAACACGGATATGAACTGGTGGTGGAAAGTCATAGTTCTTCATTGAGTATTTTGGAGGTGAGCTTCAGGCTATGAGTTCAGACTATTAAGTTTGACGCCAATATGAAGTCCCATAAACGTAATATGAATATTATTTACTTAGAACTTAATAAAGAACTATTTGTGACCAATATGAGAAAATATGAGCACAGAAACAGAGAATTAACTAGTCTATGTAGACCTAAAGCTTCTCAATAATCAATTATGATAAGATATCGAAAATTCTTAGAATTCTCAATTCTACTTTTACAATTACAAACACGTTGATTTCACCGTATTCTGATTTGTTTCTTCTCTGAAGCCAAAGGCATTTGTGATCGGGTCAAGATTTTTCTACAGCCAGTGTCTAACTGAAATAGCTCCTTAGAGTACCACCGAAAAAGCCTTGCATGAGTTAGGGTGCGGGGAAGTGCAACATGCTTTTTTAAAGAAACGACAGAGCTACCGTTTTAGGCAGAGGAAATTAGGGACTGATTTATTCATAAAGTTCTTATGCTTATATTACAAACATGGGGTTTACATTATTCTATTTCCTGATATTGATTACAGTGAACTTTATGCATGTTATCTAATCCTAATTACTAAATTAAACAGTGATGATGTTGTGAACGTTATCTGGTTACAAAGCGCTATAGTCTAATAGGCTGGTTATGACTACATAACTCCTCCTCCATTAATGGAGGCATATTGACAGGAGCTGTTCTTCCTCAACTTCGAGCTGCTGCTGTATCAGGAGATGCGCCGACCTGGGTTTCCACCAGTCCTTGAGAATGGCTGCCCCAATTACTACCAAGAGTATTATAATGCATAGGAGTATTGATTGCCAGCTGTGTGTTCTGGGGACGCGAATGGTGTCTGTTTCCGGGATTTCAATCTTCTCTGACTGTGTCAGAGCATTCTGCGATTTATCCAGCTCTACATTGTCTAAGCTTATTGTTTAGGTGAAATTTGTTTATTATGGTGTGCTATTGTTTCTTTGAAATTGATGTACCGCTGATGCGTCTTTAATATTTTGTCTACTATTTGTATATTACAGTTGTTATTAGCGGTGATCAAGAAGATTCCTTTGCTCCTTTGTTACTGAACGTCGTTAATACAAACTGTTTTCACGACTTCTTCTTGTTAAAACAAATCTATGAATTACTATCTAACTATTTAATATCTTTGATTTGTTGCACAAAGGTCTTTTTATAGGTCGCTATAGCGTAGATGCAGTTATGACACTTTTGGTGTTGTTTCAACTGGGCATTGCAATTGTTTAAGTGTAGCAAAGTTTACCACTCCAGATGTCTGCAAACGACTGCATCTTCTGTGATCTCGAGGCATGGCTCATGGGGATAGGCCAATTCGTTATTTCCCAAGATAAGGAGGTTATTTTTAGGAAGAAGTATTCGAGATGCAATAAAGGTGAAGTAGGTTATAGGGTTGTTCTGCAACTAGTGGGATATGCATTATCTATTTAATTTTTTTGTCCATTTACTTTAGATGTTGCATCCATATTACATTCATTGATAATAACATTTCACATAAAAAATAAAAAAAAACAACAATTTCGGAATAAAATATAAAATATCTTAATTTAAAACTCAATCAGAAGAATCATTGTTGTTTTGCTACCGTAAGACGGCCTGTTCTAAATTTTCTAAATTTTTAAGTTTAATAAAAATGACTATAATTAGATTAAGTTTATCTAGGAATGTTTCCAAAGCCATGTTCTCATTATGAAGGTGTGTGTTTCGTTTTTGGTAAATGCCTTTACTATGGCTTTTTCTCAGAGGTGTATACTTTTCATATTAGGGTTAAAAGGAAGGTTTCCCTTAATTTCATTTTGTATTAAATTTAGTTCTTCAATTAAGTATACTGAGTCGATCATAATTATGATGGAATTTATTTATGTGGCAAAGGCGTTTTCTAATTATTTTAATATATCGTATGGCTGTTGAAGTGATGTCTATATTTTATTACAGATTTTAATTGTTTGGTATTAAGTTTTAAAATTTGAGTTTTGCTTAGAGTACCTATTAATTGATATTGCGATTTCATTTTGATTATTTTGATTATTTTTAGACTATAGTCATTAAATTCTTGCAAAAAGCTTATTATCTTCCTCTGATTGAACCTGTTTCTATGTACTGCTGATTGTAATGCCTTAATGTCGTTACCTAATTTAATTGCGTCATTTTGATCTAGGTTTGTTTAACCTTAGATATCAAGTAATTTTTTGGGAAACAATCCTGTTATTGAGGCTTATTGCTATAAGTATTTAAAGCCTTAGGTCGATTTTATTGCTCGCGTTTAACTCTTAGTTTAGATTCTTCGTGTTTTGCTACCGTAATAGCCTGTTCTAAGTTTTCTACATTTTTAAGCTTAATAAGAATGGCTATAATTGGATTTAGTTTGTCTAGGAATGTTTCCAAAGCCATTTTCTCATAGTAATCGTATTTTTCCGGATTTTTGGATATTAGTGCACACATAAGTAATCTTATTTTGTTGCCAAACTGGTCTATTGAACTATTATTTCTGGAGACTTGCATTAGTTCTTGCACAAGTTGCATTTCGGTTCTAAGTTCACCGAATTTTTTATACAATTCTTCTTTTATATCTGTCCCGGTTTTTGCACCTGGGCTTTGTGACAAAGCTTCAACAACTTTATCACTTAATTTATTTCTAATAAGAAAAGTTATACAAGGGTCTTCGGTATTAGCTATTAAATTTAGTGCAATATCCACATTTCCACCTTCGATGTAAAATACGAGCGTTCTCTTGCTACCGTCGTAGCTTGGTAACAGTTTAGAGAACCTGGAATAATTGGTAGACACCGCTGGTTTATGCTCAGTTAAGGTTTTATCATTCTGAGTCCGTTTGTCGCAAGACATTTTAATAGAGCGAGGTTCGAGATCTCTAAAAATGAAAAAAAATGCTACGCAAATTATGTGTATTTACACAATGTATGTTTATAACAATACCAATTCATACTAAGAACACCACACAGAGGTGAACACCAGGAATTAACAGAATTATATGCTTACCCCACGAGCATTGCCGATTCTTAGACTGGAGATTGTGATGAGTGTAACTGCCTCTGCCTCTGCTGCTGCCCGAAGACTTCTTGTCTGCAAGCTATAGATTATTTCTTCGCGTACTTTTTACTGAATTTATTTTACAAGCTCTATACAAATATATATACGACTTCCTGATTGCACCAGTTATAATGCGGGGCAATGAACCGGCTTTAAAAAAAACGACAAAGCTAACGTTCAACGCAGAGGATAAGGACTGATTTATTAATAAAGATCTTATGCTTATATACTATTACAAACAAGGGGCTCTCATTATTATTCTATTTCCTGGTATTGAATACAGTGAACAGTATGTTATCTAAGCCCAATTATGAAATTAAATAATGACTATGTTGTGAACATTATCTGGTTACAAAGCGCTATTGTGTAACAGGCCGACTATGGATACATAACTCATGTCGGTCATAAAAATAGCATGGTTTTAATATATTCCATAGTGTACGGTTTTCTTTTCTTTAGTTGATACAATTGTGGTGTTACACCACGTTATAGAATAAGATATTGATATATTTAAATTTGCTACGCCTAAATAGTTACCAAACGTCATAGATATCAGAGAACGTAGCTACCGCAGCAGCGACTTGAGGTCGAAACCTCAATGGGACAACCTTGACCCGACTTTCAAACCAGAATTTTCCACCACCATAAAACCACTACCACCACTACCAGCACCCATAAAATTAATTTCAAGTGTTAATCTAGAACGGAACCGGAGTATACGGTCGTCTTGCTAAGCTGATGAAAAGACAAAGGGTCCAGCGAGTTCACAACGTGGAAGCCGGAGTCAGACTCGTACTCAACAGGAGACGGGTCGCGGTGCTCGGCGGGCGAGAGACCCTTTACTATGATACTGAAAGATTCGGTGAGAACGAAACCCAAGCATTTATTATAGAGTAATTCTAATAGTGGCCTAAAAGGACGTTATAGATTGTACAAAGATAATCGCGGGACGCGTTTTTTTTTTTATAGCTTTGATTTGTTGGATGGTAATTGAGCAACTTAATGACCAAAAAAATATATATAATAAAAGCTGTAACCAGTGACTCAATTGTGCCCCTACAATTATCACTTTTATCTATGATAGTGACTACTTAAGACCATTAGGCCGTATTGTACGGTGTCTTCGATAGTGCTAAAAAAACGCTTACTGGTGGGTAGGACCTCTTGTGAGTCCGCGCGGGTAGGTTTCACCACCCTGCCTGTTTCTGTCGTATAGCAGTATTGCGTATCGGTTTGAAGGGCGGGCAGCATTTGTAACTATACTGAGGAGACCTTAGAACTTACATCGCAAGGTGGGTGGCGCATTTACGTTGTAAATATCTATGGGCTCCAGTAATCACTTAACACCACTTGGGCTGTGAGCTCGTCCACCCAACAAAGCAATAAAAAAATTTAAAAAAAATAAAGAAAAAAAACTGGTGGATTTTTATTATTCCCATTGTAGACAGACAATCATTCCACTCACCTTATGGTCAGTAGTGGCCTTCTCTCACGGACATCAGCAATGACAGGGGCAATGCCAAGCCGATGCCTGCGACATGACACGACACGACATATCGCCTGCCAAATCCCAGGCTAAACATTTACTTTTTGCAGGTTCACATAATTTTCATCTGAGTGAGAAGCTCTATACGAGATACTCGGCCATCGCCTTTCAAATAGGCAGTCCGTATTTGGAGACTATTAACAATGTGTAAGTACATCTATATATTAATACGTGAAGCAAAAACTTTGTACTCCGTTTTACGAAAATAGCGCGGACGGAGAAGTATGAAATTTCCCACACTTATAGAGAATATAAAGAAGGTTATTTTTTTTTAATTATGCATAAAAAATACATTAATTCAATAAAAAAACATTACACACACTACCATGTATTTGACACACATACACATATATTATACCTATACTCTTTGTTTACTGTCAAACTTTTGATATTGTTTATAATCTGTGGTCGAATTGAGAATAGCTTAATATTATTTGTCTATAGTGTAGTCTTGGCGAAATCTGTGATTATAGAAGCTTAATAGTCTTTGACAATAGAACCGTAATAATGTTTAAACATATAATTTCAATTATTGAAAGTCGAATTTCGACTCTTGCGGGACCACTAATTTTAATTATTGTTTGAAGAGATATATAGAAAATGTAGAAGGGATGTAATGATTTTTTTTTCTTTTCTTTCTAATGTCTTAAAACACAAATCAGAGTGCATCTCATTTATTAGTGGTAACCGCTGTTCATGAACACGATCTATGCCAGGAAACAGCTCAGCCACTGTCCACCGTATATACCATAAAAAACAGTTTTATTCATTCAAACGCTTCATCGAAACCGATAACTGTAGGCAATTGATAGAATCACCTCGCAGATACGGGATGGATTTTTTGCTTGATTTTGCTCTGCGTAAACCCTGTCCCGCCGTCTCAATGGCTCCGACTGGGCTCCGGCCCGGTCCGGAGTAGGGGGCCGGCTGTGAGCGGCAGGAGTTTTTAGTGAGGTTCAACTCCCACATACGGAATCGGGATACGGGATCCGGCGATTTTCGCCTATGGAAGAAGAAACCTCGCAGATGGCTTGAAAGGTCCTGTTTCGTCTAGGAAACGTCATCCTGAATCCATATTATTGTTTTATTTGACACAAAGTTTCCGAGGAAGCTACAATATGTCGCCTGCCCTTCTAGAATAAGAAAGGGAACTGGTAGGAAGTTTAAGACAAGAGGTATAACTACTACAGATGATTAAGTAGAAGTTCGAGGAGACTGATGTAGCATATACGCTACTACCAAGTTTTGTACCATAATCATCATCAACCCACAGTCGTCCACTGGACAACTGGACATAAGCATCTCCCAATCTACACCACTGAGCGTTGAATAGTTGGACTAGATATATCGTAACAATTTTTGGTAGATAACGCTTGACTAAGCACTTGGTATGGCTTATCTATAAACGACTTCTACTAATCGTCGTCAAAGAGGGCATAAGCAAGTTTGAATTAGGCAGTAACAAGTTTAAAATAGTTCAATTCAATTAAGAAAGAAATGTTTATATATGTTGTCATAATAGCCTGGGAAAATATTATCATAGCCACAGATAAATTCCGGTCGATAAACAAATTGAGAAGCCATTTTACTATTGCTTAATTCTATATATATACCTCGTTCATTAATATTCTGACAATAACTGAAAATTCCTAGTAAAATTATAAAAGGTTAATCAAATAACAACAATTTAATTAATTACCTAAAATATATTTACTGATAAATTTTAAGCTTTGTAATGGCAACCATCTGTATATTACGATCGATACATTTTTTATCCGAAAGTAGTATCATAATAACCCTAAACATGTAACATACACTAAATTTTGTTATTGTTATACAAACTCATAGGAGATTATCGTTTCCAGAGTAATGACGTTATTCGAAGCAGGCATCCTCGGCAAAATGACGACAGACGAATACAAGAATCTTCCAGAACAATCCAGAAGATCCGAACCAGTAACTGAGAGTGAAAATTTAAGCACCGAAAAAACTGGAGAAACTGCCGCAGTCACTCAGGTATCTAATCACATTCCCCACATTTGAACTTCATTTTAGAGAAAGGGCTATCCATAAATTACACGAATTTCAGAACTTTTAACATCTCTCGTCCTTCGCCGTCACACTCATCACATTTTCGCCAAAATGTCAGTTTTTTTTCTTACAAGCTATTACATAGCTTTTATCGCGGGCTTTGAGCGCGGCGACCGAATAAAGAAATTCCGTAACGAAAATAAAACCTAACACCCCCCACTCCGCCTACCATGTAGCTCGCGCTCAACACATTCACACGTTGCGCTTGTGTAGTGTTTGAGAATAAACGCGCGGCGTGACATCGCACTGCATGCGCATCATGAAAAGTCTGCCCATCTCTCTCCCGCGCGGTCTAGCTTATCAGTGTGAAGGGGACAGTTAATGTTTTGCTTTTGTTAATGTTTATAAATATAGCGTGGTCTTATTTTATCATTGTTATAATATTAAATTATTATTGTCTAATTATAATTGCATAAGTTGATAAAAAATGCTTTGCAATAGCTTTACCGTGGCAGTCCTCGAGTGCCACGCGTGTTTTTTTTATTAAATAACCCTTAATAAAATCACACTCTAAGAGCACTCCCCAAGTAAAACCTATTTAAACCATTAACATTGCGAAGTCTCGTGAGTTTTAGTGTCTCACTTGCATTCAACGTAGTAACTAATATTAATCTGTGCTGCTTGTGTGCTTACAATGCCACACTTGAAGTTGAATGTGCGTGCCAGTTAATTTCGTAGCCAGAACGCTAAAGTATTAATAAATAAAGATCGAGTTCGTAACTTTTTAAATATTTTTATCTATATACGAATTTCGCGTTTTAATGTTTTAAATTTTCTCGTGACGTCACCACAAATATTTTGTCACATTCCGGTAATACCCTCCCTCCCATTAATGTGTGACGCAATCTATGGATGAACCCTAAAGAAGCTAGCGCCGGCCGTGACAATAAGGAACCCAGAATCAGCATAAATTTAATAGTTCCACATACATACATCTCAAGTCGTCGTGGCCTAACGGATAAGACGTCCGGTGCATTCGTGTTGAGTGATGCACCGGTGTTCGAATCTCAGGCGGGTACCAATTTTTCTAATGAAATACGTACTCAACAAATATGTTCACGATTGACTTCCACGGTGAAGGAATAACATCGTGTAATAAAAATGAGACCCGCAAAATTATAATTTGCGTAATTACTGGTGGTAGGACCTCTTGTGAGTCCGCGCGGGTGGGTACCACCACCCTGCCTATTTCCGCCGTGAAGCAGTAATGCGTTTCGGTTTGAAGGGTGGGGCAGCCTTTGTAACTATACTTGAGACCTTAGAACTTATATCTCAAGGTGGGTGGCGCATTTACGTTATGGATTTCTATGGGCTCCAGTAATCACTTAACACCAGGTGAGCTATGAGCTCGTTCACCCATATAAGCAATAAAAATAAATAAAAAAATACGGCAACCCTAAGTATAAAAGTTTTTGGATACACGATCCGCTCTTTATAACGCATGAATTCTTAGTTACAACTTCGTCGATCTGGTGTTAGACGTCTCGTGAGTCCGCACGGGTAGGTACCATCACCCTATTTCTACCGTGAAGCAGTAATGCGATTCGTTTTGAAGGGCGGCGCAGCCGTTCTACTGTACTGAGACCTTAGAACACATATCTTGAGGTGGGTGGCGGCATTTACGTTATAGATGTCTATGGGCTCCGGCAATCACTTAACACAAGGTGGGCCGTGAGCTTGTTCGCCCGTTTAACCAATAGAAAATAATTAAAAAATACAAATAAATGCCGGAAAACAGCTGGCATATGGCTATAATATCTTATTAAAAACATTTCAGATCCAAAATGAAACTTCGAAAGGCTTAGAACCAGTGTCTTTGACAATGCTACGTGGCGCCTTCTGTCTTCTTGGCATTGGTCATCTTCTCGCCGGTAATTAATTAATTTTAATAACAAAATAACTTAAATAATCCACTTAACTCTGGTCAATTACTTTTAAAATGATATTATAGTTCTACGTAAACCAATTAAACGCTGCGGTTTGTGAGGTAGAGTTTTATTTTCATTTCGACACCTTTGTAGATAGGCGTGCTTATAGCTCACCGTCAGAAGTCGCCATTGTTTATGGACGTTATGGATAATCCCAGCGACAAGCCAAGACGCTGCCTACTGAATTAATGTATTAGATATTTCAATGTTATATTCCAAAATGATCCGCAGCATTCTTACTAACCGCTTTCTGAACAAAACATAATTTTAATAAACATTCTGACCTTCACTTGTTCAGGCGTGACTCTCCTCATTGAAATTCAACTCTATCGTCGCGCAAGAAAAAGGGCCTTACCACCACAAACTCGGAATCCAACGAACACTTTCATGGCAAAAGCAAAAAAGTGCATCCTGAGAGGCTGGAGAAGAATCAAGGCTGCCGCCATTTTAGCTATCGATAGAGCTTTGGCCCCTGATCGTGGCATTGATTAAAGTGTTTAAGGAGACAAAAAAATATGAAAGAAAATGAAGAAAGAGAGAATAAGTATTAGTTTAAAAAAAACTAAAAAAATACGCTTTTATAAAAAAATCCACTAAAAAATAGAAAATAAATCTTAATAAATTTGAATTAAAAATAATGTAAGAAAAAATTATTTTATTGTAAAAAAAGCGTGGGGTACATGGTATCAGTAGTTATAAATATTTTATGAACATGAGTAGAAGGGTTATTTTGATAATGTCCTGAAAAGCACCCGTCATTTTTAATTCCTGTTTATTAAGATTTCTTTTTTAAACTATTTCTTAATTTTCATTTTTTAGTTGAATTTCAATTTTTTCAATATATTTTTAAATATTGAATTGTCATCTGTCCTTAATAAGTATACCAAATTTCGAGTTAATCCGACGTTTTTTTGAAGAGGGTCAAAATCATATTCAAAGATTCCGTTACATACGTACGTCTGAAGCTAACAAAAGCGTATTAAAAAGGAACGCGACTTCTACCTTGTCTAGCTACCGTCTGAGTTCTCCAAAACCTAGCTGTAAGCCCTCATACGTGTAGTGTATGTCTGTTATCTTATTGACCTTGTTTATACCACAAAGAGGTAATTGAATTGAAGGTAGTCATATCCAAACATAATACATAGAGACTTCAAAGGGCCATAGCATTTTGAACAAAAGGCACTAAGTCAGTTCATTTTAGTTAAAACCATATTTGAAACACGGGAATAGAAGGCACATAAACATTGAAATTAAATGTCATCGCCCACTCAAAGACATCATGACCTTAGCTTAGTTCGCTTCGCTTCTAATACTGAGATTATATGGATATTAGTCACGATTTAATCAGTCTTAATTTCATTCATTACAGATTATCTTAACTTGAAAGTCTCATTGTTTAATACCAATTATTGTATTTTATTTGAACATAGTACATTTACTATAATTATTTTTAGTTCAAATAATAAAGCTTACAATTAAATTTCTTTTGTATTGCTACTTGCAAAACGTTGCCTGTATAACCTTTCTTTTAACCTTACCTGTAAAAGTTTTCGTAAAGCTTAACGTAATAAGCATGTTGTGTGCGACTTTGCAATGCGAATTTTGTGCAATTAGTTACAATTACTTCGAAGGATTAAACGCTAGTTATTAATAGCTTAAACGAAAGCTTAATTGAGGACGTTAATTAAAAAAAAAGAGTTATTAGAATTTAGTTAAATAGTTATTACTTCATCAAACTGAAAACGCAATACTAGTTAGTAGCAAAAATAACTTTTTAACAATGAATAAAATATTAAATAATCATTCCAGTAGTACCTACGCACATTTTACCGCCATTTAAAAAGTCTTAAACCGAAACTGATCACCAACCGGTAGAAAACAAAGATGTCGACAATATTAAAAGTATAACCAATAAATTACACCTCTCATCATAAACAAAAAGCCATTTAGTTCAATTAAGTCAAGCTAAATATTATTACTCGAAAAGGCAGTCCAACAACACTGCTAGACTCGCGTTCCGCAAAGCAAATCTTCATGGTCTGTATTTTTAATACAAAATGCTCAAACTAAGCAGCTTAATTTAAATAACACGATTCAAAGTAATGTCCAAGTAAATGAGGGCATAAAAGCCAAAACAAAAGCCTCTAATTCTCGGGGCTGATCCGTCGAGGACAAACAATAAAATAAATGTTCTATTATAATAAAACACAAGAATAATATGGCACTAACGTTTCTACACACAGTTGTGGTCTGTACAAGATGAAATTTGCGTAGTTTTAATGTTTAATTTCAAAACATAGATTGTTAAGTGTCAGAATGTCTGGATGATGTTTTTAGAATAGATACCAAAACCATTAAATTTGTAAAAACAAATATTTTGTATTATTATTATTTAGGAAATTTATATAAATAAACATGCACAAAGTCTTTGAAAAAATACAAAATACCATCGTATACTTTAAGCTGCGATGACTCTTTGTTTTTTTTTGGCGTAGATGGATGCACGAGCTTACGACTCACCTGGCGATAAGTTATTGCAGGAGCCCATAGATATCACAACGTGAACAGCGCCACCCATCTTAACTCATGAGGTCGGAGTCTCAAAAGTATTCTATCACGGCTGCTCTGCCAAATTTCCACCCTTCAAACTGGAGCGCATGAATTCGCGCAAAAAATAGTTGTAGGATGAATGTACCTATCCCTGTCGGTTCAGTGTGTTCACACCCACTATGATCCCATCAGTAAATGCCCGCTGGCTGTCCCAGTACCCTGGTGCTCGGATAATGGTGCATCCCATTCTCCGGATAATCCCATAGTTGTCTTTTATAACACCCACGGGAAGATATGAAAACCGAAATTTTTCTTGATTAATAAATACTAACTAGTGGCCCCGCAGTAGTCGAGATTCGACTATAATTAATTAAAATTATAAGTTTAAACATTATTATGGTTCTATTGTCAAACACTATTATTATATTTCGATAATATAATCACAGTATTCGCCAAAACTGCACCATAGATTAATAATATTAAAGACAAACAATATTAATCTATTTTCAATTCTACCACAGACTTTAAACAATAACAAAAGTTTCCCAATTGACAGTAAACAAAGAGTATATTTGTATGTATGTGTTGTGTCAAATACATGTGTGTATTGACTGTAATGTTTTCTTTATTGATTTAAAATATCTAATATGCATTATTTTAAAAAAATATTAGCATTGTGCACTCCTTCTCTATATTCTCTATAAGTGTGAGAAATTTTATACTCCTCCGTCCGTGCAATTTCAGTAAAAAGGGGTACAAAGTTTTTGCTTCACGTATTAATAATATATTATAGATAAAAATAGTATTTAAAAATATTCTGTTCGTCTTCGTCGCTACTACATCAGTGGCGCGAATCAGGATTGCAATCTGCGACCTTGGTAGCTCTATGATATTGAACAAACCAAACGGCCGTGTTACACGTAAGCAAGTCCGTAACATGCTCACACGAGAACATGTGATGTAAACACGATACGCCACCGATAATGAGATGTTCAAGATACGAATAATAACAATGAAATACTACATCTGCCTTCCTGATTTCTCACTACACACAGTACAAGCATGTAGTACACGTATGTAGTGCATGTAGGCAGGCATGAATCAGGAAGGAATGTATATTCGATGCCTCCAATGAACACTACGCTAACTCCAAAATCGTAGGTTTACAGGAGGAGCGTTTAAACGAAAGAAGTTGATAAAATCTTTATTATTGCAGATATATTTATGGTTTTTTTGTGTAACTAGCTGATTCACTCTTGCTTCGAACCCCATCAATAATGATTAATTGTAATACTTTTAGCATAGTGAAGCGATTTGCGTGAAAAACGATAATTTCAAAATTTTGAGTTAGAGTAGTGTTTATTGGAGGCATCGAATTACTAAAATACGTAACTTGTAATTTTTAATGTAATTTGAGAACTAGTTAAGATAGTCTGTGTCTGCGAGTTTGTATATCGAGCTTTCGTTCATTTTCAAGTCACTGCGATATTGCCACACTCTAATTGTGGGCCACAGTATGGCCACAGTGATGTTATTATTTATTTAAAAAAAAAATAATGGGTATATGAAATAGGAATAATTTTAACCACCATAATATACCACAATTTTCACCACCATATATAACCACCATAATATATAATAAATTAATATTTTAAGCGGTTTCGCGAGTTTCCTGAGACCTCATACAACGCAGGACCTACTACAACGCGAGACCTCATACAACGCGGACCTCATACAATGCGGACCTCATACAACGCGGACCTCATACAATGCGGACCTCATACAACGCGGGACCTACTACAACGCGGGACCTCATACAACGCGGGAACTCATACAACGCGGACCTCATACAACGTGGGACCTCATATTATGCGAGACCTCATACAACGCGAGACCTCATACAACGCAGACCTCACACAACGCGGGACCTCGTACAACGCGGACCTCATACAACGCGGGACCTCATACAACGTGGGACCTTCCCGGGATAGAGATAGTAAGAGAGAGTAAAATATTCGAAAGCTCGGATGATATTTTGCAAGGGCAAGGCAAGGGGACATTTTTGCAACCTGCCATTGCAAGTTTCAAATTTGGAAAATATATCGTAACAAAAAAACTTCTTAAACTTAGGAGTAAACTTAATTAAAGTTCCCGGTCATCGTTCTCGTCGAACCCGTCGCTTGCGACGTAGGGCTCGACGAGTAAATTAACCCTCAGACACAGCCCACCGAGTTTCTCGCCGGATCTTCTCAGTGGGTCGCGTTTCCGATCCACAGTCACCTGGGGTCGGCGCAACATGTTTTCTCCTTCCATACTCCTCTATCATATAACATTTCTTCGCTCACTACCCTCTTTCTTTTTTTTTATTGCCCTTGTAGGCAGACGAGCATACGGCCCACCTGATGGTGAGTGGTTACCGTCGCCCATGGACTTCAGCAATGGCAGGGGCAGAGCCAAGCCGCTGCCTATCGCTTAATACTCTCCACAAGCCTCGTTTGAAGACGGACATGTCATAGCGCTCGGGAAACACCGTGGAGGGGAGCTCATTCCATAGCCGGATGGTACGTGGAAAAAAAGGTCTCTGGAAACGCACTGCGGATAACCGCAGTGGCTCCAGGTAGTATGGATGAACTCTACTCCGGTGGCGGGCGGTGCGATGGTAAAAACATCATGGTAAAAACCTCTTACACATATCGTCTTTTACGCAATCCATCCATTTCGTCTTAGGTTTACCTCTCCTTCCACAGTATATAGATTAGGATAAGGATATAGATCCTTCCACATTCATAGTTCATTTTCATTTCGTCTCGTCACATGTCCTTACCAATCCCAAACGCGCACTTGTCAACTTTTCTGTCACAGGTGCCACTTTCAGACTTCCTCTAACATATTATAATATAATACAATATTAAATGAATGCATACATACATCTCATATTATTACAATATTTACAATTATAAATGAAA